CCCGGCCACGTTCCAGCATTTTGTTAATGACATATTCAGGGACTACCTTGATGTCTTCGTAATTGTCTATCTAGACGACATACTGATATTTTCACCCTCACTGGAGGCTCATAGGGATCATGTGGCAAGGGTCTTAGAACGATTACGCCTACATGGGTTATACGCCAAGGCTGACAAGTGCAGTTTCGAACAGCACAGTATTGCCTTTCTGGGACTGATCATCTCCACCACGGGGGTCGCGATGGATCCCCAAAAAGTCTCGGCAATTCTGGATTGGCCAATTCCCGCAGATAAGAAGGGCATCCAGCGTTTTGTTGGATTTGCTAACTTCTACAGGAAATTTATTAAGAATTTCTCGGGTCTGGTCTCCCCCATAACGCAATTAACCAAACAGGGAACCCGCTTTAAGTGGACACCGGAGGCCCAGGCGTCCTTTGAGTCCCTAAAAAACCTGTTTACCATGGCACCCATTCTTGGTCATCCGGACGCCTCCTTGCCTTATGTTCTGGAAGTGGACGCATCTGAAAATGCAGTGGGGTCAATCCTATCCCAGAGGAAGGGCACCAAGGAACTTCTGCACCCTGTGGCATTTTTCTCAAGGAAACTTACTCCGGCCGAAAGGAACTATGACATTGGCGATCGAGAATTATTGGCCATTAAAACAGCATTGGAAGAATTGAGATATCTGTTAGGAGCCACGCACCCGATCTTGATCTTCACAGATCGGGTGCGTGGAAGGCGGAAGTGCACTCCTTTTTCAAGCAGTGCTTGAAAAAGGAGTGCACTTCCGCCTTCCGACGGCCAGTGCATGCTCCGAAACGCGTCGCAGTGCCCTGGGATTGACGTCATCTCGACGCCTCATACGTTCCAGCGTAACCATCCGACTTTGGTTCGTGCATGAAGGCTGGCCTCACCACTGTTCCCCCTCCAGCCACCACGCTGTTCCAGCCGAGAGCTGACCTTTGACATCCGCAGGAGAGATGACGGTTCTTCACCCGGAAACCACCCCCCACCGTTAACTATTGTTAACCACGGTTTTTATGCTTATGATTACTTCACACAGTGAGTGTTTCTACTATAGACTTGAATTAAAAGACTTATGCACTTAGAGGCGCTTCTCTCCTTTTTCTCATCTACAGAAGTTGCTACAGCTTATTTGGAAAAGCCTTGCCCTCAGTGCCCAGAAGAGCTCTTCATACAGTAGCCACTAATACCACATCACCCATACTACCATTTCCCGACTTTGCAGTGTTTGCGCTGTTACAACTTCCTCATTTTTTCTGGCAAAGACTCTTGAACTGCTCAAACACACATTTTGGTGGCCAAACATGACCAGAGACTGTGAACGCTATGTCAAATCCTGTGCCATTTGTCAAAGGAACAAGCCTCCTAGGAGCAAGGCCTGGGGGCTGCTACGCCCACTACCCATACCCGATCGGCCATGACAAATTATTGCAATGGACTTCATAGTCAAACATCCTCCGTCCCAGGGCCACACCGCAATCTTCATGATCGTAGACAGTCTGTCAAAAATGGCCCACTTCCTACCCCTGAAGAGTACACCATCGGCTTTTGAGACCGCACAGATCTTCATTTGAGAAGTGGTTAAGTTGCACGGAGTCCCAGAAGATATCGTCTCAGACCGAGGAGTTCAGTTTACCTCCAAATTCTGGAAGGCTTTATGTAAGGCACTGGGTATCAAATTATCCATCTCCTCCACTTTTCACCCACAGACCAATGGGCAGACAGAAAGGACCAACCAGACACTGGAACAGTATCAGAGATGCTACACGTCCTTTCTGCAGGATAATTGGCTGGCGCCCTTACCTTTGGCAGAGTTTCGCCTACAATAATGCGAATCATTCAACCACGGGGCAATCCCTGTTTTTTGCGAATTATGGATTTCACCCCACTTTTTTTACCCGATCTGGTCACTGGGAGTTCAGTTCCAGCTACTCAAAGCACCCTCACTTTTTTTCTCCACCAACAAGTTGCTTCAGGAAGCCATTTCTAGAGCCCAGTAAGATAACAAGAGGGCCTTTGATAAGAAGCGGAGGGGGGAACTGGTGCTGCAACCCAGGGATAAAGTCTGGTTGGCAACAACGAACCTAAAGATGTTGTGTCCCTTGAAGAAACTAGGACCAAGATTTGTGGGTCCATTTCGTGTGAAGCGTATGATTAACAAAGTGGCATATGAGCTTATTCTTCCGGAAACCTTCAAAATCCACCCGGTATTTCATGTCTCTCTGCTAAAACCAGTCGTACCAGACCCATTCCCGGATCGGGAGTCCAGACCTCTGGAAGCTATAACTATTGAACAACAAGATGAATTCGAGGTGGAAGCAATCCTAAAGTGCCATAAAAGGGGGGGCCAGACCCAGTTTTTGATCAAATGGAAGGGCTATGGTCCAGAGGAGAACTCCTGGGAACCAGCCCAAAATGTTCATACTCCTAGACTTATCCGGGAGTTCTTTCATGGCCACCCGCAGTGGAGAGATCGGTTGGCACCTGGAGGTTGCCCGTAAGGGGGGGGCAATATCAGGGATGGCTGTGGCACTGGTCCCGGCACAGTATGCCATCTCATGCAGGCACTAGGTCCCGGCGATGGAGTCCACGCATGCGCACTGGCATTCGCCTGGCACCAATGACAGCGCAGGGCGCGGTATTTAAATCCCCCTGTGCTGTCACTGGTTGCTGTATGGTCTTTTCTGTGATCTCTGTTCCTGAACCTGTATTGTGAGTATTTTTGACCTGGATTGCCTGACTTTGCTGATTTCTCCTGTCCTGACCCCACTCTTGAATGCCCCTTTATAGATCTGACCTCCTGTTACTGACCTGGCGTGTGACCCGACCATTCTTTGCCTGCTGCTTTGTACTGCATCGACCCCCCGGCTATCGACTCTGCTTGTCTGACTTTGCACTTGCTCATCCATCCATCCCACTGGGATCTCCCGGCCTCCCCACGTCAGGCTCTCACCCTGCAGGAGCCTCTGGCGAACTTCTCTATCACTGGTGGGTGTACCCAGTAGTCTCAACCTGGTCTCGGTACACTCCAAGTCCATCCCCACCATCAGGGGCCCTGGTGAACAAGTGATCTGGGACTTAGACTCTGCGCTCTGGGGAAACCTGACCAGTGGGTTGCTAGAGGTGCCACCAGGTGGTCCCTTACAGTGACAGTTCAGGGGTTTTGTTTGGTGATCACACATCTTCCAAGGTTTTGGGAAGAAATAAGACAAGGATTTAGTCTCACCATTGTCACTTATGGTACTGTGTTTGATCACCTGCAGAAATTCAAATAGTGGTGTTTTAGCCTCATTGTATCTTAGACAAAATTTCTTCCACTCATTGTGTGTGGTAACTTCTCAGGTCATTTGAAATTAACCGAGGATGTTAACCCATGATAGTCAGCTTTTAAGCTGTTCTTTTGGGTAATATTTTTCTTAATAGATAGTCCAAGAGTCATCACAACCTAGACAATATTGTTTTTTTTGGCAGAACCCTTGAAAATCATGGAGTGATTGGAAAAGGTCCAGAAGAGACTTCATGATGAGGGGTTAAAGTTGTCCTTAAAGAAAGCTGGTAGAACTGACATTCTCAGTCTTTTAGAACCTGGAAGCGGTCACCTCCTAGGCAAGACCTACCAATGTGATTGACCTTAGGTAGGGCCTGGGGTTCTGCTCATACTATTGAATATCCATTGAGGGACTTGCCAAGATAGTCCAGTCCCTCAATGAGTTGACTAGAAATGACAATGGCCCCAGCTCCCTGAAACCTGTGAACAAAACTGGGAGGATCCAGGCATCAATCCAAGATCAGTGCAAGCAAGCTGTCAGCTGAAGAGGAGCTTAATTAGTTCCTGTTCAGGCCTTTGCCCACCCCTGCTCTACAGAGATAAAATGTTAATATTCATGAAAAGAATGTGTTGAGATGTCAGTTTGAACTTTAGGTCCAAGTGTCCATTTGGTCTGAAATAACTCACTAGAAAATGTCAGTTGGAGACAGATACTTGTGCTTGTTGGCAGGGGCGGACTGACAACTCATGGGGCCCCCTGTGTCCTAAAAAAAAAAAAAAAAAAAAAAAAAAAAAAAAAAAAAAAAAAAAAAAAAAAAAAAAAAAAAAAAAAGTACCAGGGGCATCTCATGGGGCCCCCCACTGACCCAGGGCAGTGCCTGAGTTTCCAAATTGTCAGTCCACCCCTGGTTGTTGGCCAGACAACTCATTTGGCTACAAGTTTAATTTGAAGGATCTGCCCACCAAAAAGTGATTTTAGGTATTTGTCTTATATATGCCCACAATGAGATCTCTCTACCACAATTCCTAGCCTTGTTCACAAGTTAGTTCTGGGTGTCCCCCATCAACCTTTTGGGTGTTTCAGTGCCTTCTGTTGCATTCTCCATAACAAAGTAAAAATGGTGCAGGGATGGTGGGAGTCCTTTATAATGGAGACAGCAGGCGAGTAGAGATGGGGCCTACAGGACCCTGCCAGGGGGATTAACTCAGTCTTAGCCAAATACTGAAATGTCACTTTTGGGTGGACTGACCCTCTAGACATTTAATGCACTCACAAAAAGTATACCAGTTCTAATCTTGATAACGATGTGAACAATTGCAACACCGATGCCAAACTTCAGTAAAAACAAAAGTAAAATTTATTTAAAATGAATACAGAAAGACAAGATGGAGAATTGATGTATACATGTCCACCACCTTTGGATCATGTACTCTGGTGCCACCTCCACTGAGCCATGTGCTGTATTGGGTGCCAGAGTCATTGCACAAGGCTTCAAGAGCAGCTAGTCCTTGAACAGAGCAGCCCAAAACCAGCCTTCAATATATGACCAGTCAGTGATCGTTGGGTCAATACCCTGGGTATGCCTCATCTTGAGAGGAATGCTGTCCATAAATATTTTGAGGTGGCATGTAGCCTCCATATGGGGGATATACAGGGTCATCAAAGAGCATGTTATTGGGAGTAAAATCTGATGGGGAGTTTGTGGCTTCAGAGGGTCTTGGCAGGGGAGGTATTTGGGGCATCAGACTGGGAGATTAGACATCCCTTTGCTCTGCATAGGTGGAGCTTGTGTGGGGAAGGCATGTCATACAAAGACAGAGAGGGGCAGTTGGAATAAAGCAGGAGAGGGTGGGTTCTGGGAGAAGCCACCACATTAGGAACATATTTTGAGCATGTTGGAAGGTTCCATAACATTGGGAAGGACACGGCAGGATCTATACATAAGGGTTGGGTTTGTACTGGGAGTGGGGCCTCCATTTCTGGACTGATTAAAGTATCTTTTGAAATATGAAAATCCAGAGGTCTGTAGGGCTGTCCATGCAGGATATAAGGAGCCAAGTCATAAGGGAAGGCATACTTTCGGGATAATGCCATATCCTTTCGCTTCAGGCAATCAGTGGGAATCTGGCTCACATCCACCATCCAGTAGTTGTTTCTGGCGTGAGGCTTCAGCGGATCTTTCAGGACCTACAGAGGAGGGAGAAGACATTTAAAATGGAAGCCAGCAGAGCAGATTCACACATATGAGTTAGGGTAACAAATCCTTGTGATCCATTTATAATCTTTCCCACCAAAAGTTTTTTTTTTAACTTTGTTTTTTGTCTTGTAGCAGTCAGGTTTCAACTGGGTTACAATGTTGAAAAAAAATAAAAATGAGCAAAAATGTTAAAATCCAACAGCAATGAAAATGACTTACATGTCCTCATCTTCAAACACCTATCCCTCCATGCGGCAAACAATTACCCACAGAAACCTTCACAACTTGAACCCTGCAACTGACCAACTATGACAGAATTTCTCCCGTCCTGCCCCGACTACAACAGTTCGCTTTCATCTGCATTAGACTCACTTGCTCCTCTCCAACATCAGGCCCCGACTGTTGCAACCTTGGCAGACTGACACCAGAAATCTTAAACGACATAGTTGTGCGCTGGAGTGTTTGTGGCGTAAAACCAAATCCCAGCAAGCATTCACCCGATATAAATCTGTTTTAACATAAAATTCCTTCCTTCATGCTGCCAAACAAGCCTACTTTGTCACTCTTAATACCTTGTCATCCAGTCCTCGTTGACTCTTCTCTACTTTTACCTCTACTTTCTCCACCTCCACCCAGTACTTCACTCACTGCTCACGAGATTGCAAATAGTTTCAAAAGACAAGATTGACGCAATCCGTAGGGGCATCGCCACTGCACAGACATCCATCCCACTTAGCATACCTTTTACTAAACCTCCCTCACTTTCCTCTTTTGACCTTGCTACTACCAAAGAAGTAGCTAAGGTTCTCAGAAGCCAGTCTCACTACCTGCCCCCTGGATCCAGTCCCCTCACAACTACTACGGTCACCCTCTCCTTCCATCCTATGCTCCCTCACATCTTCAATCTTTCCCTCTAATGGCGCCTTCCCCTCCCCTCTAAAGCATGCGCACATCACTCCCATACTTAAAAAGCCCTTCCTGGACCCCACCAACCTGAACTTAAGACCCATCTCCCTGCTGCCATTTACCTCTAAACTCCTAGAATGCTTAGTCTACAATTGCCTGAGCTCCCACCTCACCGACAACCACCTTCTTGACCCTTTACAGTCTGGCTTTCGCTCTACACTCCACTGAAACTGCCCTAGTAAAACTCATGATCTACTAACTGCTAAAACCAAATGGCCACTACTCTGTAGTCTTACTACTTGACCTCTGGCTTTTGATACAGTTGACCATCCCCTCAAAAAAAAAAAAAAAAAAAAAAAAAAACTCCACTCTGGTGTCAGACTCTGCTCTCTCCTGGTTCTCCTACCCATCGCAGCACTCCTTCAGTGTTACCTATAATGCTGCCTCCTCCTCTTCACTCCCTCTTTCTGTAGGGGTGCCTCAAGGATCTGTCCTTGGACCCCTCTTCTCCATCTACACCTCCTCCCTTGGTACTTAAAGCCATGGGCATTTATCAAGTGACCATCTCTATGCTGACGACAAATCTTTCTACCCCTCATCTCACCCCTTCAGTCTCCTCTCGCATTACTAACCTACTAAGTGACATATTGGCATGGATGTCTCTACTTCCTCAAACTCAATCTTTCCAAAACTGAGCTCTTAGTATTGCCCCCCAGCCTGTGCCCCCTCCCCTGACTTCTCCATCAAGATCAATAACACAATTAGTCCCTCCCCTCATGCAAGGGTACTGTCCTTTCAGCCCCAAATCCAGTCACTGTCCAAATCTTGCAGACTTAACCTCTACAACATCTCCAAGATGCACCCGTTCCTAATCTTGGAAACCACTAAGCAACTTGTGGTATCTCACCTTGACTATTGCAACTCAGTCCTCATTGGCCTACCTCATCGCAGGCTATCCCCTCTTCAGTCTATCATGAATGCTGCTGCCAGACTTATCCACTTTACTAACTGTTCTGTACCTGCCACCCCTCTCCGCCAATCCCCCCCACTGGCTTCCCATTGCCCAATGGATAAAATTCAAAACATTAACATATAAAGCCATTTATAACTCTGCCCCAAATTACATCAATGATCTTGTCTCCAAATATCACCCAAACTATACTCTCCACTCCTCGCAAGACCTCCTGCTCTAGCTCCCTTGTCTCCAGGACTTTGAGCTCCCCCCATACTCTGGAACTCTACCCTAATTTATCAGACTATCACCTACTCTGCTCACTTTTAGGCAATCTCTGAAAACCTCTCTTCAGGGAAGCCTATCCTGCCCTCAGCTAATAATGGAATCTACTCTTCCAACCAGTCCATCCCCCACAGATATTAATCTTCAGCCAGAACTCTTTGCTTTATATAGCATGGAGAATGGTTGGGTCCCCTATCAGGTGTGTGATATTTCAACTGGAGTTCTCAAAGTTTTATATACTGTAAATTTATTAAGAAAAATTAACCTGTTGGTGTCATCTGTCCATCTTCGGATGCTTCTGGCAAGCCACAGATTCTGGGAGAATAGTGCATGGTGGGCTATTGGGGAAAGAGCAATTCCCTGTGTTGGCGTGGTGAAGGGGGGAGCCCCCCCCACGGAGAAGACTATGCTGAAAGGAAAGGGCTGAATCCATCAATATGGGTGGTGGCAATACCCTTGGGCAGCCATATGGAAGAACTCACTCTGTATCTAGGGCATGCACCATGTATTTAGTCTCATCCTTTCATGCTTAGTCTCCAATGTTCTTATGTTATGATCTGCATAAGTATTGGATTAAAGCTATGACCTGTAGCATACCATTTGAATCAAGTCACTGCAGCTATTGTTATACATGCATGCTAGATCACAGCAGCCTACAGCCTTCAAGAGAGTAATAGCAGTTTTTTTTTAATGGTACGATTATACAAGACAATAGGTGCATTATATATGTAATCAGTATGCTGTGGATGGGGGTAGGTGGATTAACCCATCCTCCATATTTATCATTAACTCATCAGGTGCCAAGTCTGAGTCACATGAGGACTGCCCCAGGGTGGGTGCTTCTGGGCAATGACAGGGTCACTTGCCTCACATGTGTCACCTCTACTTGTGCCAATTCCATCAATTGCCAGGGACAAGGCTGGGACTGCTGTCAGGGAATACCTGACCTCAAGGGAGAGCCTCTAATTTTAGAGAAGGCTGTATACTTGAGCAATAAAGGTCCTGTTAGGGCCACAGATAAGAGGGTACCACCAGGCAGATGGACAGGACATGTGAATGCAGTGGCAGGATGAACACAGGCGCAGGTCCTAATTTGATAAGTGTGCAGCTGTGAGTGAGTGGCCTCAAATACACTGTCTAGATGCAGGTATATGGCCTCCAATTGTACACACCTATCAAGTTAGGATCTCTTACAACTGCTGCATCTCCATAGCATAACAGGGTGCCTGAACACAAAAGCCACATGGGGACCACCAGTTGTGAATGAGCCCCAAGACTTCATTTACACAGAACTTAACTCCATACAGGAAACAGATGCACCATTACTTTAGTGTATTTTTAGTGAAAATATTGATTTTTTAACAGCAGCCCTGCCTCTAGTTAACTCTTGGGTCAGTTTCAATGTACACTCACTGCAAGTTATTAGAGCTATGCTGAGAATATGCCCACTACCTCACTCGCAATAGTGAATGGAAGTCTGCTGTGCACCTAGTGCAGGTTCCATGTGTGCACTTGACTTAACTCTTAACTTCCTGTACCTCTAGAGATTGTAGACTTCAGTGGTGCCAAGCTGCTGCCTTTGCTATGGAGCAGGAGTGTCAACAAGATGTCCCTTGCTGCTAGTTCAGGGGCATCCCTAGGTTTGGTGTCACCCGGTGTGGTAACTTTGTATCAACCCTGACCATCCCACAAGGATTGGATCTGAGGATTGGGGAGCATAATGGATCAGACTCCGATCCATTATGCTCCCCAATCTGCAGATCCGATCCATCCTGTGGGGATAGTCAGCTTGCTAAAAAAAAAAAAAAAAAAAAAAAAAAAAAAAACACCCCACCATTTTCTTTTCGTGGAGCTTATAGAGGGTCCAGTATCAACCCATGCGATAGGCGTCACCCATCATATCCCAATGTGCCGTTGACCCAAGCAGGAAAGAGATTAAAAATTGTTTGAGCAGAGTATAGGATCAAGTCAATTAAATTCCTGGGATATTGATCTGGTTGGTTAAGTAGAGGGGGTTGTTAATCACTTTCAGTTGCTTTGGTGTTAATGAAATTAACAGCTGCAATAGATGGGCAGCAATGAGATTACCCCCAAGACAGGAATGGTTTTTCCAGTTGGAGGCCACAGACATTCTCTACTCATCTTTGACCGTTTCATTTGGGTAGGGTCAGTATCACTATTGGTAGCATGAGGAGATACCTGGACCCTACAGAGGTTGCACAGGCAGTCCAACTCCTGCAAGATGGCACATCAATAGGTGCCATTGCCAGGTTTGCTGTGTCCCCCAGCACAGTCTCAAGAGCATGGAGGAGATTCCAGGAGACAGACAGTTACTCTAGGAGAGCTGGACAGGGCTGTAGAAGGTCCTCAAGACATCAGGACTGCCATCTGCTCCTTTGTGCAAGGAGGAACAGGTTGAGCACTCCCAGAGCCCTACATAACCTCCAGCAGACCACTGGTGTGAATGTCTGACCAATCAGAAAGACTATGAGAGTGCCCCGAGGGCCAGACATACTCTAATGGGCCCTGTGCTCACTGTACAGCACCATAGAGCTCAACTGGCATTTGACAGTGAATACCAGAATTGGCAGGTCTGCCACTGGTGCCCTGTGCTTTTCACAGATGAGAGCAGGTTCATCCTGAGCATGTGAGATGTGAAAGGATCTGGAAAAGCCGTGGAGAACTTTATGCTACCTGTAGCATCATTCAGCATGACATTTTCGGTGGTGGGTCAGTGATGGTCTGGGGAGGCATATCCATGGAGGGATGCACAGACCTCTACAAACTAGACCAGGGGTGGGCAAACTGACTCTCCAGCTGTTGTGGAACTACATTTCCCATGAGGCATTGCACAGCTATGACTTGCAGAGGCATGATGGAACATGTAGTCCTGCAACAGCTGGAGAGCTGCAGTTTTCCCACCCCTGACCTAGACAATGGCACCCCGACTGCCTTTAGGCATCGGGATGAAGTCCTTGAACCCATTGTCAGACTACACTGGGTCCTGGCTTCCTCCTGGTGCAAAACAATGCCTGGCCTCATGTGGTGAGTATGCAGGCAGTTCCTGGAGGATGAAGGAATGGATACCATTGAATGGCCCCCACACTCTTCTGACCTAAATCCAACAGAACACCTCTTATATCGTGTTTCAGTCCATCCAATACCACCAGATTGCACCTCAGACTGTCCAGGAGCTCAGTGATGCCCTAGTCCAGATCTGGGAGGAAATACTCCAGGACACCATCCATTGTCCCATTAGGAGCATGCCCTGATGTGGTCAGGCCATACAAACTACTGAGCACTGTTGAGTTGCTGCAATGAAATGTCAGCAAAATGAACTAGCCTGCTGTGTCATTTTTTCACTTTGATTTTTGGGGTGTCTATGTATTCAGTCCTCTGTAGGTTGATAATTTTAATTTCCATCCAAGCAATGGGGCAACCTTACATTCCTAACATTACTCAGTCCATATCAGGATATCCAGCATGATATTTTTCCCTATTGAGATCTGATGTGTTTTCAAAGTGTTACTTTGATTTTTTTGGAGCAGTATACTGTATATTTTAATAGAAACTTGCCAAAATAATTTATATTTAACATAGCTGTATATTTGCCATTTCTGTAACATACCAAACAACCCAAATACATTCTCCTGCTCCTGACGATTACAGCAATGCCATTTGTGGTTTGTACCTGTAGTAGGACCCAGAAACAAGGATGCACATTTTGATTTTTTGTTAAACACCAGGCACTGACAGATGCCAATCAAATGTAAAATCCTACCCAAAATATATACTGACCCTGTCAGTTACCTAGATCAAACTTATCTAGCCATTTACTTTTTTTTTTAATTTACACACTTGTTTGTTGCCATTTTCCTCCCCTGCAAGGAGAGAAAGGATGCAATGCATCTTTCTCTCCACTCAAAGGAGAAAGAACACAGGGGTGGGCTGCACAGTGATCACTGATAGCCAAACAGGCCAGATGACTGGGAAATGGGAGTCCTGGGTCTCCATCGTTGGAGAGCCTGGTCTGTGCTGGGAGTGCTCAGTGTGGTGTGCTCCCAGAACAGGTATGCAGCCTCAGTATTCTCTTGTTCTTCCCCTCTTTTACAGGTGCTCCTGAATAAAGTCTTCAAATAATGTTTGGATTTTATTGGCAAGTATCATGTTCCACATACATTTTGCATGTTTGCCTAACCAATTTGGTCCCTACCTCACTGTAGCTAGAGCATGCTCTATGTAATCAGTCCCACCCTACTTCATGTGGAGAATGGAGACCAAGCATGTACTGTATCCTACTGGAACTTGACACCGATTTTTTGACCTGATGTTAATCTGCTCTGAACTGCACAAGTTTTAGATTAAAGCTTTCTAGGATCTTCAGCATGTCATTTATATCTCATAATAATTCACACTTAGAAGAGCACAGAGCTGGTCACCAATAACCTTTGCATGTACCTTGACAAATTTGAACCCTACTCTTTCCGAAAGACTTTTCCTTAACATAAACCAGACCTTTACAGTGTGCTGGAAGATTTTTATCAACTCTAATTATAGCCCTGCACATCCTCCCATTACCACATTTACATTGTGACATGAAAACTATCCTAGAGTGTTAAGAGCACACACCACATCCCAGGATCACCGAGTCCTTACCTTTTTGAAACAATCATTGGCGTAGAGGGAGCGTGTAATAGACTTCCGAGAGCCCTGATAATCCCACTTCAAGGTAGGGAAGAGGATGCCGATCTCATAACAGATCTACCAAGGGAAAAAAAAAAAAAAAAAAAACCAAAGTAAAATGAACAGGACCATGAACCCACATACACATTACCCATTATATAAGCAATAGTTAACTCCAATTCTGGCTTTGACCCTTACCAAGAGACCTGCACTAATACTTTGGACATTAGTGCAGACCACTTGAATATGTCAGGAGCCTGTCATACAATACTTCCAAGTTAAACATGCAGCAGGTGAAGCCACGGTAGGGTTTGGGCAGGAAGCTAGCATTTGTGAAGCAAATTAGCATTGGAAGACAAAAATGTATGTATTGGTGAAAAAGGGACACCACTGACTTGAATGGGGTCTCTGGATTTTTGTGAACCCAGAAAAAAAAAAAATTTAAGGAAAGATGACCTAAAGAAATTGAGTGGAAAATAGTTATGTTGTCTATGCTCCAATGAGGAACTTTCCTTTCCCTTGCCTTCAGGTTTTGCCTATTCGACTCCTTTTATGTAGTTTTGCACTTAAAGAATTTCCCTCTGACAGGTCCAATTCTAAGCTGGACTCCATATCATCCCCTCCCCCTAGCTGCACCAAAACCACAAGAAGCTCCACAATTTGGGGGATAGATTACCTCTAATATTGTGAGCTTCCTTTCAGGAGCTTTCTGGATGACCAGGGCAATCATAGCCATATAGGTGTAGGGTGGTTTGGCTATTCGCCGAAAAGGCTTCCTGCTCTTCTTGCGGTGCTCAGTGGAGTCTGGCTCTTTGGGGCATCTGTTGTCCTCCCCAGGGCAGTTCTGGTCAGCCAGGATCCTGTCCATGCTGTGGTGGTCAGGGATTGGCTTGTAGAGGGGGTCCCAGAGATGAAGCAGGTAACGTACAGCTGGTCAGGTGTGTTGCAATCTGGGGACAGCCAGATATACGTAGTGCTAGGATCCAGACCATGGGTTTTGTAATGAAAAAAGCCCCTGTGACCAGAAGAGGAGACACCACTTATTACAGAGGAACCCTCTCCCTTTATCCCATATATCATGCTTAAAAGGGTGTCTATTACATGCATACAAGTTGTAAGTTTATTAGATATATACAATGTATACCTGTGGTCATACATACAGATACACATCTATATCACTTGCATAATTTAGAGTTTTTACTAATTTAAAAAAAAAAAACCACACACACTTCAACTAAGTTTTCCTACCTTTTGTATAAGGTTATAGAAACATGCATCAAGCTCTGAATGACTTGTGTCAGTACGTTTGGTATAAATAGCTAGTACTTTTTGTATCCATCAGAATCACTCAAGGATTTCAACCTTGAATTTGATGCTTTCAAGGCTTCTTTATCCCAAATTTTCTTCGCCACTGAAACGTGTTGTAGTTTTATTTTATAACATTTTTTAAATTAACTTAAAAAGCAAAGTCCTAATATTCAATGTACTTGTGAATTTTACTTTGTTAAACTTAGAAAAGTAAACATTTGTTGGGGAATCGTATAACTTACAATTATTGCTTTTTGTTAACTTGCATTTTTCATGTGGTTCAGCCTTTTCACCTAGGTCAGTGGTCGGCAAGCCGGCGAGCCACGTGCAGCTCTTTACACGCTTTAATGCGGCTCTTGTGTGCCGGGTGCCCGCTCCCCTCCCTCCTCTCGGGTGTCAGGGACTCTGCAGCGTGATCCAAAAAAAAAAAAAAAAAAAAAAAAAAAAAAAAAAAAAAAAAACCAGCCAGGGCAGCGCGCTCAAATGCAATGATTGGCCAGTCTCGCTGCCACTCACATCCTGATAGCCAGTGATTGGCTGTCAGGATGTGTGTAGGCGGGGCAGTGTGACGAACGTGAGAGGAGCTAGGCTCCTCTCACAGTCCGCCCTGAAGACCGGAACGGCGCGGGAACACGGCGAGAGGAACGCGTGGAGCAAAGGTAAGTGAATTGACACGCTGCCGCCGCCGCGGGGATGAATTAATATGGGGGATGAATTAATATAAAAACTTATTGAAACTAAAAACAGTGTACCATCCTATGTATTTTCAGTTTTAAAAATGTGGCTCTCAAAATAAAATTTCAATTGTGGTTTTGGCGAGATTTGGCTCAGTTGAAAAAAAAAAAAGTTGCCCACCACTGACCTAGGTGGTACCATTCTCTATTTAACGAGCTTGTAGAAGCAAAATAATGGGTATTATATCTAGTATAATATAAACATTTATACTAGGATATTAAATATATCTACAAGTAAAAAAAAAAAAAAAAAAAAGGGTATGTTATGTTAGGATTAAGGATTTGAGAAATTCGTAAGAAAATCTCTTGCTAAACACACTTGAGACGGAAAAAAATATTTTAAATATATTTATTGCATAAAGTATTCAGACCCCCTTCAATTCTCAATTTTATTATGTTGAAGCCTCAAACTACTGTTGTATAAACATTTTATTCCCCTCAATCTACATACAGTAGCTAATAATGACAGTGAAAACTGAATTTTAATGGTAGAGGGGCTAGACAGAAGCCCCACACATGAAAGCCCACTTGGAGTTTGCAAAAAAGCACCTGAAGGACTGTGGGCTGTCATGTATTTTGCACTGAGGAAAGGCTTCCGTTTATTCGCCATTTTTTTTATTATACTGGGGCAGACTTGATTTATCACTTTTTCTGCCGTCACTCTTCTAGGTTTGAGTTTCTAGATTTAATACTATGAATACATATTAATTGATCAATAATTAAATAAAAAGGTACCAAGTATTGGTATAATGGTGGTCAAAACTGAAGCTGCTTTGTTCCTCTTGCTTGTAGCAGAACTATAACTAGTTTGGTGCTCCAATAACAAAATTCACCATCCTAAACCTATAGTAGACATGCTTTTAATTTTCTAGCTTATACTGCAGCCCAGTATTTCCATTTCTACAATGGATGAATATGATGCAAAAACAATGAAAATCTCTGAAATTATAGGTCCAGCAATGATAAATGTACTGGGAGATATTTATTAAAACCAGTGAACACAGAATCTGGTTTTAGGCTGGGTTCCCACTGATGCAGTGTGGAATTTGCAGTGTTTTCTGTGTGAATTCTACACTGCATCAGAATCACACCCTGTTCATGCGAACCATGTTAAGTAAACAACCCAAAATGCGGTGCGATATGCAGAATTGGATAGGTGTGAATACCCATACGATCCAATTCTAGTGCCGGAAAAAAAAAAAAAAAAAAAAAAAAAAAAAAAAAAAGTCCTGCACCTTTTTGGTGCACATGTGGTGTGATTTGAGCCATACAATATGTATGGATCTGATTGCACTGCAGACAATTGGAATGCGGTTTGCACAGGAGTTACAAAAAAGTTTAACAGTGTAATATATTGTGCCCAGGGCCAGTGCTAGACTATTCTGTGCCCTAGGCGAGACCAGTGGTGTCGTGCCCCCCCCAAAAGAAAAAAAAAAAAAAAAATGGTTTTAAACCAGTAGCAACAAGACTAAGAAACTGGCAAGTTTCTTTTAATTTGCAAAAATAAGTGCCACAAGATGCAACCAGCACCAGTGCGCCCATACTGAGATGCCAGGCTGGAATTCCCCAAGCAATGGGGGGGATAAAAACACTGAAAGCAGACAGGTGAACTGAGCAATCCCACACGGTGACAGATCCAACAAACACACCACTGACAGATCAGCAGGCAATAGAAGAGCAGGCTGTGGGATTGTGATCATGTCTCTCACCGACACACTGCACATGTGATTGATGGCTGGCCAGGTCACACTCCGACAGAGTGAAACATTAACTTCTTCCACAGGTGCAGTTCTGCCTCCACTGATGAACGGCAAGAAAAGGGCTGGAACTCCAGTGATCAGCAGCCACCAGCCAGGTTAAACTAAGGGACCAAGTCTGAGGGGGAACACTGGGAGCGGCAGCTCAGCTGCTACGGTGGCCCCAGACACCCAGCACCTTCCAGTCCTTTCTTCCTCCCCTCCTGTCAGCTGAAGGATTATTAATGATGTGACTGCCTACCACAGAGTGCCAGCCTGAGCTGTGCCCAAGTGCCCCTAGGTGACAGGGCACCCTAGGCAGCCACCTAGTTTGCCTAGTGGAAGCACTGGCCCCGATTGTGCCCCATTATGCAACCAAAGCAATATTCCCAATGCACACATTCCTGAAAATGGCTGAAGAGTGGTTGCTATTGCAACCACCAGTTGGGAGACCATAAAGACCTCAAGGCAAAAGACATCACCAGCACACCAGAGAAATCTAGAAAAGGGTCCACCACATTACTGAATGATCACATCACAGCAGAAGATAGCATCCTATCTGCTATCTTCTGCAGTGATGTGATCATTCAATAAAGCGGTGGACCCTTTTATGGAATTCTCTGGTGTGCTGGTGACATACTGCATCTTTTGACTATTATACAACTAAAGTATAATGAACAAGATCACATTAAACTGAATGATATAATAGTCAATAACGATTCATTAGTCACACTATTGTAACTATTCGCTACAAGATCAAAGATCAGAACATAGAAACACCAATGGCAGAAAAGACTAAGTGGTCCATTGAATAGGAATGGGCTTGATGTTAAAGTCGATCAGCCAATAGTGTGCTCACAGAAAACATGAACGGTAAGGGTGTTAGGCAAGCTGTTCACCTGCTGCACCCCACTCAGTACATTGAGAGCTCCATGATTGGCTAAAGCAATGCACCTGACCACAGGTCAGGTGCAATGCTTTGGGCAAACAATTAGGTGGAGCAAGTGGTGATGTCACCGCTAGCTCCACCCAGTTAACGCCTTACCAGCAAATGTCAGATTGCAGTGAGTGATCAGCAGGTGCAGACGGGTTGGGGTGCATCTGGGTATTTTTTTTTTTTTTTTTTTAAATTTTGGTGTTGTCATGACAAAACCGGATGCTGGGATTGACTATGGATTACAACGAATTGGCCATTTTTTTTTTTTATTTATTTCATAGATTGCAGTACATGTGGTCATCTTTTGGGTCACTATACTCCTTAATGTGACCATACCATCTTTGCCCAATCAACTTTAAAATTTACCAAAACTAATCTGAGAAGCTACCCAACCCATCCAATCAGACAGGCCCTTACACTACATAGTTGTTGACAGTTCTAAGGAGATTATACAATCAGATTGTAACAAGTTTGGCAAGGCTTAAGAATATTCTCAGTTTACAATTACAGAAGAACAAGATGAAAGGGACCGAACTTTGGAATATTGATGGTTAATTTGGCAATATTGACACCATTTCTGTTGGGGTTATCAGGCACATGACATTTGTGAAAGACTTTCCATAATGTGCCTTGATGTGTCCAACTTCTCAGCCTGAATCCCATTTACAGTGATTAGAAGAAATGACAAGTCTAAAGTAACCCATCAAGCCCCCCTTGTTTCCTTGATGTACCTCATTGGGGAGCAACACAAAATTGCCCCCCCCCCCCCATGAATAATAGGCTTTACATCATCTCCACTGTCTGCCCAGCCATTTCTATAGGAAGGAGTAACCAGTCAAGTCCTGTGTAACTCCAATGTTCATTTACAACTCAACAGCCTCAATGGTGAACAAGGTCTGGAGCTTTGTTTAGAAAGCACGCAGGTTATGAAGAGGGCAATAACTTCTCAGTGTGTACACACATCACAACATCCTATTGTCAGGAGAATAGAGCCCAGGAATTTAGAATACAACAAACCACAGGATTGTTTATAAAGCTAGAAATTATATTATAATTCTCACAAAAAAAAAAAAAAGTGCATTACCCTTGTTATACACTACAAAATGAGCAATATAGGCTAGGTATGAAGAAAACACAATAGGTGTTAAATATA